TTGTCAAGGAGAAAAGATCAATCAACTATAAAGGGAAGCCAATTAGAATCACCTCAGATTTCTCAGCGGAGACAATCAAAGCAAGAAGAGCTTGGAATGATGTATGCCATGCTGTAAAGACAAACAACTATCAACCAAGAATTCTGTACCCAGCTAAACTCTCCTTCATAACCGAAAGTCAAACAAAAACCTTCCATAGCAAAGAAATATTGAAACAATATATCTCCACCAAACCAGCAATACAAAAGATTCTTAAAGATGTCCTACACATAGAAAACCAACAAGACCACAATAAAGGCCAAAAAACCACACCCAAACTGAGAATCCAAGAACAATAGGAAGAACCCAGTAGCTGCAGCCCCCAAGAAGGTGGAATAAATGGCAGGAACTCCTAAATACTTCCCAGTCCTATCTCTCAACATAAACAGACTTAACTCTCCAATTAAGCGACACAGACTGTCTAGTTGGATTAAAAAGCAAGATCCTTCTATCTGCTGCCTTCAGGAGTCACATCTTGCCCGTAAAAACAAACATATTTTCAATGTTAAAGGTTGGAACAAAATCTACCAAGCAAATGGCCCCCATAAACAGGCGGGAGTTGCAATCCTAATAACAGATAAAATAGACTTCAAATTAAAATTAGTGAGAAGAGATAAAGAAGGTCGCTACATACTAATTAAGGGATCTCCCCTTCAGGAGGATATTGCAATTCTAAATATCTATTCGGCAAGCAATGGAGCACCCAAATATTCAAGAAACATTACTTTCCCTCAAAACCCACACAGATGCAAAGACATTAATTGTTGGTGACTTTAACACACCACTTCCCCACTAGATAGATTGACTCCGCAAAAACTCAACAGAGAAACCGCAGATCTAAACAACTGCACAGACCAACAAGATTTAACAGACATCTACCAAATATTTCACCCAGCACCATCAAAATACACGTTTTTCTCAGCAGCATATGGAACATTTTCCAAAGTAGACCACATTTTAGGCCGCAAAGTAAATTTGTCCAAATTCAGAAACATTGAAGTTATACCTTGCATTCTCTCAGACCACAAGGGAATAAAATTAGAACTCAACACCAAAAGCCACCAAAGAAAATCCTGTAACACATGGAGGCTGAACAACACACTGTTGATCACCAGTGGATCATGGAAGGTAGAAAGGAAATTCAAATGTTCATGATATTCAACAAAAATGAACACACAAACTACCAGCTCCTCTGGGACACAGCAAAGGCAGTACTCAGAGGCAAGTTTATACCTCTGAGTTCCTACATCAACAAATTGGAGAGATCTGAAACCAACAATTTAATGACACATCTGAGCCTCCTTGAAAAAGAGCAGGAAGATAAACCCCAATCCAGCAAAAGAAAAAAAAATAAAATTAAATCAGAATTAAATAAATTAAAATCCCAAAAAACCATAGAAAGAATCAACAAAACAAAGAGTTGGTTCTTCGAAAAAATTAACAAAATTGACAGACCCTTAGCAAATCTTATCAGAAAAAGAAGAGAACACACCCAAATAAATAAACTCAGAGATGAGAATGGAAACATCACCACAGAAATGACCAAGATTCAGAACATTGCAAGGGAATACTTCTCAAAACTTTATGCTAATAAGTTTGAGAACTTGGCAGAAATGGACCTTTTCCTAGAAATACTGACATGCCAAAACTAAACCAAGATGAGTTAAACCAGCTTAACAGGCCCATATCTAGCATTGAAATAGAAACAGCAATAAGAGACCTCCCAGCTAAGAAAAGCCCAGGACCAGATGGCTTTACAGCGGAATT